CTCTCTCTCTCTCTCTCTCTCTCTCTCTCTCTCTCTCTCTCTCTCCTCCCTCTGCCCCCCCTCTCTCTCTACTTCTAAGTTTTTTTTCCAAGTTGTGCGCATGAGTTTGAAAAGAAGACTCTGGTGATATCCGAATCAAGATTTTCTCGCAGACGGACACAGAACAAACATATCAGTGGTGCTGCGATAGAAATGTTTCTTTTGTGCGTGATATACGTTTATTTTTTGGGCGGACGAAACGAGACCCGGGAAAGAATGGTCAGCCGGGGCGGTTAGTGGTCCACGAAAGAAAGGAAAAACACTCGTTGAGTTGTATTCTGCGCACACGGCTGGTTTAGAAGTTTGTGTTTTTTGGACCGATGGCTGGGTCGACCGAGGCTGCAACTCTGTTGTTCTAGTTGCTATATCACTGCTGCTGCTGCTGTAACTATGTTCAGTTTTTTTTTTTTTGCCTAATCGTTTTCTCAAGTTTCTATGGAGCCATCGTACTAGTTCTATTTCTTTTTTTTGTTGTATCTGGAATTCTGTACGACTTATGTCTTTGAGCTGTTTGTACCTTTTACTTTTCTTTTCTTTTTTTTTGTTTGAGAAGACACGTATGTTCTGTTACCGTATCATTTGAGACTTTGGAAAAATACATTTTCTGTTCTGGAAGAAATTTTTTTTTACTGGCTCTCTTTCATCATCCTTCAACAAATGCGTGCGTTTTTTTACTCTCCCGATTGCAAACACTTAGAGACGAAGGTTTTCTTATTTTCCTTGTTTGATCCTTTGACTGCGGGTCGATTTTCTGATGGAAATTCTGAGAGGCGTAGAGGTGTGAATTTGAAAAAAATATCAGCTTATAGGGAACGATAAGACGACACTTTTTTGTATTTACAGTTTATTTATGCGACGTTTAGTTTTTAAAATAAAAATTCAAAACTTGGAAGACCTTTTCTCCATGAATTTGATTAGATTTGCAGTGGTGAAAATGAAAGCATCATTATTTGGCAATTACTTATCTGATGAATTTGACAAAAATATCACCTTATAGGGAATGAAAAGACGAAACTTTTCTGTATGTACAATTTATTCATAGGACGTTTAGTTTCACAGATAAAAATTCAAAACTTGGAAGACCTTTTTTCCATGAATTCATGATTACATTTGGAATGGTGAAAATGAAAGCATCGTTACTTGGCAATTACTTATCTGATGAATTTGAGAAAAATATCACCTTATAGAGGATAACAAAAGGAAACTTTTCTATATTTACAGTTTACTCATACAATGTTTAGTTTCAGAGATAAAAATTGAAACTTAGAAAACCTTTTACCTGAAATTCAATGTTAACAAACTTCAAACTTTTCAATTTTTATTTCCTAAACTAAACGTCCCATGAATAAACTATAAAAATAAACAAGTTTAGTCTCTTCATCCCCTACAAGCTGATATCTTTTTAAAAATCGATTCAACGAATATAAACGTTTCTCTGAACCCATTTCTCGAGGGTGTATATATAAGCCCTTCGCAGTCAAAGGGTTAATTAACCGATTAACGCCTGTAGCTTTTACGTTAAAAGGAGAACATGTTTTTTCTGTCTGTGTGTCTCTCACTCAGTAGGATCTTTCTGTAACACAATGTTTTGCGAATTGTTTATATACTGCTCAAAGCGATCAGGAAGGAAAGCATCGATTCACGTTTGATTCTCGAAGCCAAGCTATACTGGGCATGGCCAGTGCAACGTTAGCAAATTAATCGCAGGACCCTAATCGATAAGAGACTTCTGTACTTTTGGAACTTTCATACTGCGGTTTGAGCAGTACGTAAAATTTGTAGCTCGCCTGACACACGTGTTGTTGTATGCCTGCGAATAATTCTTTAGCGAGCGTCGTTGCTAATCCATGGTTAGATCTGGACAGATTGCATCTGCGAAAACTTGTGGCTTTGACAGAGAATTTGTTCAATGCATGGCTGTGTCCAGTATCAAGCGATTACCATGCACAGTATAGGACAAATGTATTTGGAACGATAGGTTACAAGTATATTTCACATCTGTCAAGGAATTGTAAAGTAACCATCCAAAGATTCCTATGTTACAGTGGCTTACATTACATACAGCGTTGAATAATTAACATGTAGACCAAGTTACCCAGGAACATTTCAGCTTCTGTTCGCTACTTTCAACAGAAAATTCATGGTGGTTTGAAGACTGCGTACCTACAATCTAAGTTGAGTTTCACAAATTACCATATAGACAGTGTACTATTTAAGTCTACGTAGGCGATATTATTACAAAAATTCGCAAAACATTGACTCTGCCAGTGTCCACGATTACATTTGTCCGCTGCTGTGCGTGTCCCTACTCTAAGTGTCTGGAATAATTCTTTAACATGCCGTTTTCATTTCTATGCTCGCCAATCCACGAAGGAGAACGTCTGTATCCGACCAGGAACAAATACCAGCGTTACGCGCATTACCTTTACTAAAACCGAGGAACGCGTTCCGTGTTCAAGTTTTCTCGTTCGTTACCCTTGCAGTTGTGTCTTCCAAATTGCTGCGCGAAGACGACGGCATTTATTGGGTCGTTGTAACTCGAACACGCCGATGGAAGCCTGTGCTCAGCGATAAGGAGGCGATTTTGAAGAGCCACGAGGAGATCTCGACGGGAACGTGTCGTTTTTTCTATTGGCTTTTGTATGTATCACGGCGGAAGTACAGAGGACGTCGCGATAAGTCGTGTACAGTT